GTTGAGTTGGCCATGCCCACCCTGGCCACACCTATCCCAGCCATGCCCCCCCTGGCCACGCCCCCCCTGCCCCTCCCAAGGTCAAACACAATTCTGATGGGGCCCTCAGTGAAATCAAGTTTATATGTTAACATCTATGCCAGTGGTGGCTAATCTTTTTGGCTCCTGGGCCAAAAATAGTGCACGCACTTGCACGCTCGCTCTCGTGTGCCAGCACCTAGAAGGCAATGCGCGTGCCCCCCCACATCCCCCATGCACGTGTGCACAATCCCCACCCACCCACCACCGCCCCTTACCTGCACTGTGCCTCACAGCTGATTTTTGGCCGGATTGAGGCCTTTTTCGGCCTCCCAAAGGCTTGAGGAAGGCTTCTACAAGCTTTGTAGGCCAAAATCTAGCCCCATTTTGTCACTTCCGGTATTTTCGGAAAAGCCTTTGGGAGGCTGAAAAAGGCCTCAAACCGGCCCCAAATCAGCTGTGGGGCGTGCACATGCGCAGCGAGGTAAGTTTGCCAGCAGCTTGCGTGCCAGCACAAATGGCTCTGCATGCCACCTGTGGCACGCGTGCCATAGGTTCACCATCACAGATCTATGCAAAAGAGACTATCACCCAACCCAAAAGGGAATGAAAAGACCCAAGCACCTCCACCAGCAGTCAGCGTAGTTTAACTCCAAGATTATCATGAAACCAACAATCAAGTAAACAATGCCCCAATCAAGAAACTGCCAAAGAAGCCAACAGTACACAGCCCAAACAAAGAACCACCCCCACCAACACAGGCAAGTCATCAGAACATAAATTGATAGAAAGCTGCATTCCTTATCAGCACTGATGATGTTACCTAGCTTGGGGAATGAAATGTCTGCAAATAAAATAAGGAAGCTCAGAGAGCACTAAGGACCCCCACATAGAAATTCTCAGTCATCCAGGTTGTGATTGTCCCAAAGGAGCTTTTTCAAAAGGCAACTGGACGTTCTTGTTTTTCCTTGAAGACGTTTCACTTCACATCCAAGAAGCTTCTTTGGTTCTGACTGAATGGTGGAGAATGAAAGGATTTATGTTCCTTGCAGTTATCTGGTCGTTAGCACTCTCTGAGAATCGTTGTGCTTTACTGGACCTTGAGGTTCCTAACCACTTTGCCCTCCGATTAGCCTTTCTCCACCTGTGTCTTCTAGATCTGTTTCGATTTTAAAATCTCCACTGTGTTGAGTTTGAAGTCTGAACAACTTTGTCCTTAAGTCCACCTGGTGTTCTTGGCAGCAGTCCAGAAATGGTTTGCCATTGTCATGCTGGAATTCATAATATTTTTCAATTTCCCAATCTAGCCTTCAGCGCTGATTTAGCACTGATGTTTCTCATCGTCTTCCATCCACATATGTGCTTTGGAGACCGCAAGTCTGAGACTCTGCAACAGAAGTGGGCAACTATGACCCCTTTATGACCTCGGACTTCAACTCCAAGAATTCCTGAGCCATTAGCTGAAACCTCCTATTTCAGGAATTCTGGAAGTTGAAGTCCACAGGGTGTAAAGGAACCATATTTGCTCACCCTTGTTTTGGAACAAAGATAACAAATAGAATTCTGGGAGTTGTAGTCCAAGCAAATCCAGATTGCCAGATGAATGAGAGGAAAGGCTGCCTTGCACCATTGACCAGATGTTGCAAAATTATTTCTTTTTAAATAATTATCCTTAATTCATCAGGTCTGGCAATTCTGGGTCGATAGTTTCTCTCTCTCTCTCCATTTTTATACTTACATGTTGTTTCCCTTTCCTGAAATAGTTTTTAACTAGACACCCTTATTAAAAAGTATAAGTGAATCCTGTGTGGTATATTTACTTCCATTCCCAGGGAAATCTGTGGAGAATTCATGAGGTGCGAGGTTTGGAGTAGTTCTGTGGGTGTGAAAATAACTCAAAATGTTTTGGACTTTCTCTGCTTCCTGCCCTGCGTGCACCGTCTTTTATGATGCATTTTAAATCTTGTCGAAAGTTCAGGCAGAGCATTGCTTTGGCAGGCTGGAGATAGGAAAAAGTGGTTTGTAGGTTGCTTCCCATTGAGCTGATTAGACAAGTGTTTTGCATTAGATACTGAGGCTGCTCATGCTTCAGCCACGCTAGTTATCCTGGATACTTCCAGCTGCCTTGAAAAAGAAAGTTAAGACTTTGTCAGGAATTGGCCATCTGCAAAGATGTTGATGAGTCTTAACTTTGGCTGGTCTTCCACCTTCCTTCTCCATGATCCTCTTCTGGAAAACTGGAAATACTAGATGCAACAACAGGTGCTGTGTCTGAAAAAGTTGTGTGCATACAGAATCCAAGACTGTAGATATGAGAAGTAGAAGGCCAATGGGAGAGATATCCATGTTTTCCAACCTGTTATAGCTGAGGAATCTGGGAGTTGTGGTTTCAGAGGGCACTTCCTCTTGAGGAAGATGACTTCAGTGTTCTTTAAAAAACCTTTCCTGGGTCTGGGATACCATAGGTTATTTGCGTTATTTATGTTCTAGTAAACATAATAGATAGAGGCGTAATGGCTCAGTGGTTAAAGATGCTGAGCTTGTCAGCTGGAAAACTGACAGTCTGGGTTGGAGACCTGAGTGCCGTAGGATGGGCTGAGCTCCCATTCCTTGCCTCAGCTTCTGCCCATCTAGCAGTTCGAAAGCATGAGAATGTGAGTAGATAAATAGGTACCACTTCAGTGGAAAGGCAGCAGCATTCTGTGTGCCTTGGTATATAATCATGCTGGCTACATGACCACAAAAGTGTCTTCAGACAATGCTGGCTCCCTCAGCTAAGAAAAAGAGATGAGCATACCCCCTGGGCAGGAGAAACCTGTGCCTTAAACACAACAAAATATAAGTTATCTGAGGCAGTGGTCTCCAAACTTTGCAGCTAGGTGGCCCAGAGGGGGGAGGAGAGGGGAACTGGGCCATCTGAGCGGTGGGCCAGTACGCACACACGGAGCTTGACATATGCAAGCGGCGGACTGGTGCACACACAGCTCAACATGCCTGCCAGCTCACCGCTTCCAGGGTCCAGTTCCAAATAGGCCATGGCCCAGTAGTGGGCTGTGGCCCAGGGTTGGGGACCCCTGATCTGAGGGACTGCCTCTCTCTGATTACATCTGCTTTTCCCATCAGATCCAGCATGTGTCAGCTTTGGAAGCCATATTAGCACCATCCACTTCCACACTGCCACATTCTTGAGCCTGGGAAAATGGGAGGGGGGGAATTTCTTGGAGGTTATGTGGTTAGACACAATAGCATTCTTCTAAGTCAGAGTCATGTTATTTCTGCACCTGGTGGACGGATGGTGATTGGGGCATGTGATGCAATGATGGGTGCAGGGGGTGGATTTGTAATTTTTTACTTATTGCAAGGAAACCCGGAACTTTCAGATTCAGGATTTCCCAGATGTGCCAGTTTACTACTCTAATAAAAAGAACATTGGAGAGGATGTCTGTCTGGGAGTTATTTGTTGGAGTGGAGGTTTTCTGGAATGCTGACTGCATGCTGCAAAGAGGCATGCTATGGGTCCCATGTCTCAGGGAATTACTCTAGAGCAGCAGGCAGGATCTGGCCCGCAGGGGCTGCACTGAAAATAGCGAAGGACCGGCCCGCGGTGCCTCTGCCAGTGAAAATGGAGCTCCCTTTTTGCTGGCAGTGTCTTATAGGACGCCATCTTAGCTAAAAATGGAGCTTGGGAGCTCATTTTCACAGGCAGAGCACTTGGACCACCACTGGCACCCTGACATGAGTGACATGGAGCTGGCCACACCCACCTGGTCCCCAAGGTCAAACACAACCCTGATGCTGCCCTCAAATGAAACCGAGTTTGACACCCCTGCTCTAGAGTAGAGCCTGAGGGGCTGGGCCTCTTCTGCTGTTGCACCCGCCTTAAGGGATATTCTCCCTGAAGTGAAGGTCACTCCATCTCAATCTTCCCAAGGTCCTTCCAGGCCTGGCTATGTCACAGGCCGGGGGTGTGTGTGTCCCAGGGTACCGATGAGATTTTGAGGTGTCTCCCTTGCTAATCTAAAAACTGTTGTGTGCCTCAAAACTCTTTAATACTGACCTCTTTTTTTTTGACATGTATGTTTTATTTCTTTGTTGTAACAATAACTTCTTGTGAGATAGGCAGCCATGTAAATTTGAAATATAAATAAACAAAACCTTAAACATTTTGAAATAAAGTGTAAGGGGAAAAAAACCCACATTTTTTCCTAAAATGGTGAGGATGGTGGTATGTGAAACTATCTCACCCCAAAGGAAGGAGGGGTTTGCCTTAATACATGAAGGTTGGCTTAATCCAGAGCTGCCTTTTCTAGCCTGAAGATATTCCGAAGTGCTGGACTAGAATTTCCAGCTAGTTCTAAGATTTATACTCTCGTAGCTTAGTTCCAACCCCTGAGAGTTGTATTTGATTGTGGTGAGATAATCAAAATCAATACATTCTGGAAGTTACATTGCAGCAGGAGAGCCATGTTCGTCTCTGGTACAAATAGTCCTTAGGATTGTAATTGTAAAGCAGATCATCACATGACTACCCCCAATTTTATTAACTTTTTTGTGGTGTTTGTTAAGTGAATTCGGCAGTCATAAAGCAAACTCTGCAACATTACCCAAATCCATTATTCGCTATAGGGAGGGGTTGGGGTTTGTTTTTGGTTTTTTGCCAGAAACTGGAAGTAAACACCAATTTCTGCTAAACGTCGTAAATCATGATTGCATGACCACCTGGTTTACGTGCGGCAAACCACCATAAATGCGGGCTGGTTATTAAGCACCCAAAACATGGTTACATGACTATGGAAGGGGGGAGGCAGACATTGGAATTTCAAAACTGAGTTATAAGTCCCATTTTCATTGGTCATAAGTAGGGGATTACATGTAGCAACTAAGATGCCTTTTAATGCAATAGCCACAAAAGGTGTGCTTCATTTTCTGGAACTTGTAGTTCTTATTGTGACAAGACTTAAACAGTGTTCCCTTGCTCATAGAATTAAAAATGAAGGCAAGTGAATCTTTTCACCAACTCTGAAGCCCATAAGCAGCAGCAGCAGCAGCAGCAACAGCGTTCCTTGCTCTGGTCTTCTAAGGTAGACTGCCTCTGAATATAGCTTCCCTCTAGTTTTCATGGTTAATGGCTGCTAATATACCAAAGTGGTCCCCCAGGCTACTTATTCTCTTTCAGCTCTTGTCAACCAGATGCCTCTAGAATTAGTGATTTTTCCCCAAAATCAATAGAAGATTCAGAGCTCATTAGATTAGGCTTTTTTTGCAAGAGAAGGGGAGGTTTAACCCTTTCCACTGCCCCCAAACTGCTTTCTCATTTATTTTTCCCACTTGCCCTCCAAACTATAAAATCTCTTTTTTTAATCACCCATCCCTAAGTCTCTAGCTATTAATGTGGCCTCCAGTTTTAAGAGCTGAGCATTGTCCTTGCATCCTGTATCAGGATAGATCCTGAGACATGTTTGTAATTTGTACCTCTTTGATTGGCAGTGGGTTTTTTTTGTGGCTGGGGAGGGCTGTGCTTTTGACTTACTTTTTTACTCGTTTTAGCTGCCCCCCCCCCCCCCCCCCCCACGTTCCAGGCTGGTGACAGGATAATCTGAAGGGCTTGTCCAATGACCGTCGCATTTTGCTATTCACGTTAGTAAGACGGGGGTGGGGGGGGAGCAAGTGAGCAGATTTGTTGCTGAGCAATGTGATCCAGTTTGATTTGTGGGCTGCAGCAGTGAGGCTGGAGAGCTTCCCATTCTGGTTCAGTCCATAAGCCAAGTCTTTTGAGACTTGAGTGGGTCATGTAGAAAGTAAACTAGCCCAGGGTTTCCCTTACTATTTCTAAAGCCTGCATCTTACAGGGCAAAAGCACCAGGGAGGGTGTCCCTTACAGGTAGACCTCGAGATCTTTCTGTTTATGTCCATCCGTCCGTCTATCTATCTATCTCTGTCAGTCCGTCCATCTATCTACCCACCCACCCTTCTCTGTGTGTGTGTGTGTGTCTGTCTGTCTGTCCCATACCAGAGGATCTTTATGGCCATCACTACTACTACTACTACTACTACTACTACTACTACTTCTTCTTCTTCTTCTTCTTCTTCTTCTTCTTCTTCTTCTTCTTCTCCTCCTCCTCCTCCTCCTCCTCCTCCTCCTCCTCCTTCTCCTTCTCCTCTTCCTCTTCCTCCTCCTCCTCCTCCTCTTCCTCCTCTTCTTCTTCCTCCTCCCCCCCCCCCCCTCCCCCCCCCCCCCTCCTCCTCCTTCCATATCCATCATCGGATGTTGGCAATCCTGTTTTTATCAGCAGCCACACAAAAAAATGCTGCTGAGTTTTGTCCAAACTGGTCCCTTAGATTTTGTAGACCTTATGTTGTCCTTCTGCCTGCACCTCATTTGCCTTCAATCTTTCCTTGGAAGATTAAGTAAAGTAGGCCATATTTTTCTGGGTCTTGCATCACATGTCCAAAATATTCTAACTTTTGCTTTTTTATGGATTTGATGATTTTCCCTTGGCTTTCAAAATCCTTTTGAGGGGGAGTGTGTTCCAACAACAAAGGCAGCAGAGATGTTCCTTGCTGGACAGTAACCTCACTTTCACTGTCAGGTATCCTTCAGATGTCTTGGTTTTAAACCTTATCCATATCAGAAGCCAGATGTCCACCATCCCAAAGTAGTCCTTCCTTTCCAAAACACCGTTATTTACTTGCAACTTGTTTGGATTTCTTTTGTTAATTAGTCACTATCTGCCTGTATAATGAAGAAATATGTCTTTAATGCACTGTTTCGTAAACCTTGGCAACTTTCAGCTGTATGGACCAACTCCCAGAATTTCCCAGCCATCATTGCCTGCTGGGGAATTCTGGGAGTTGGAGTCCGCACAGCTTAAAGTTGCCGAGTTTGAGAAAACTTGCTTTAGGGGGAACAAGGGAGGGAGGATCATTCTTATTTCAGGTACTTCTTGCTGCAGTTAACGCTGCTATATTTTTTTTGCTACTGTGTGCCCTATGGGATAAGTAAAAAAATTACAGCCTCCCTTAAGTTGAATGTAAATCCTAGTAACTTCATAGAATGCCCTTCTTTGTAGAAGAAAAAGATAGTTTTCCTTATGGTGAGACCTGCTTCTTTGACTTCCCGGTTCTAATTATAGCTCTGATCTTTCCGGGGCATCTCTAGCCAAATCCTAATTGGGCTGAGCCCTATTTAGGTAGTGCCACCTGCTGAGACCAGCAAGGGTATATATTCAGCATAGAACAGTCCTCCTGGCTCAGCATTTGATAATTAGAAATAGCCTGCCACTGAATATTATGAGCCTATATACCCAAATAACTATGATTGGACCTAAGTGAAAGTCACTTGTTTATTTAAGGAACTTGTATGGGCATGTCTCTTGCAGAATGATCATATGTGGCTCCCAGTGACCAATAAAAACAACAACATAAAAATACATTGTTTTAACCCCCTGAGCCAACCCCGTCGTAGTCCAATGCTTGGGAGAAGGCCCAGGTTTTCACAGCCTCCACACATCCTCTTCCCCAATCTCAGGTGAGAGGTTCTTCCAAAGGGCCATGGCAGCTACAGAGAAAACACATTTCTGAGATCCTTCTAGATGACAAACTATTTTGAAACCTCTTTCCTCCCCCTTTTTTTTTCAGGAGCTGGAGAAAATGGGCCTCGGAGAAGATGTGGATCTACATGTCTATGAGATTCCTGTTGAGTATCAGGCTGTGCAGAGGCTCATTCCCGCCTTGTGGAAGAAACACAGCCCACAAGTGAGTGAAAGGAAGTGAGAATGGCGGTGAGGTTGAGGGAGACCAGTGTCAGGAAACTGGCTCAGTTTGCAAACCCTGATTTTGAGGCGAGAGACAAGCATGGGGGGCAAGGGAGAACCCTGACGGGAGGGACGGCTGTGGCTTCTCACCCACTTGGCAGAAGATGGAGGCAGGTTTCCTGTTTGTCTTACTCATTCCTCCAGGGTAGGCATATTCTCCTTTATTTTTCCCATTCTGGCAATGTACCGGGAGAAGACTAGAAAGGTACTATCTTTTGGTGACTGAGGGCAACGTATTTTTTTTTTTTACTTGGGTGCAAGAATTAAACATTTCAATGAGCAGAGCTGGAGTCTACCACCACTACCATTCCCTGGATTTGTTCTTCTACCTGTGCTGTGTATGTTTTAGAAAGCAGACAGAATTTGATGATTTTTAAGAGGAATGGGACCAAAAACAACAGAAGATGAGTTTGTTGGGAGTTATTAGCTGTTGTATCTAAAATAAACCACCGGTCTCAGTTTGTCCCAGAGCTGGGACCAGGAATGATAGGAGGCAAGTTCTGTTCCACCTTACTTTTTAACATCTGGGCCTGAGTTAGCCTGTAGGTCTACCAGCTGCTCACCTACATAGATCCATGATTTGATCCAGCAGGTCTCTTGCAGTATTTCCAGCATACGAGCAGCAGTCTGCATGCATATGACTTTGTTTGCTTGTTTGCGCTATATGTTTACATACCATCTTGCAAAACAGCTACATTTGTAAACTTTAGCTAGAGCAAGACATTAAACCATCCTAAACCTGAATATACTGTAAAACCCAGTAGCGGCAACGTTAAGCAGAACAATAGAGAAATATGTTTGAATTTAGAACCCATAGAGAAATCAAATAAACAGATAAACAAGGTGTCTAGCATTCAAAGGGAATAATCTGGCAACCAAGGTAATCTTTTCTAGCAAAATTGTTGAGCATAATTTTAGGTTCTAGGTCTCTGTATAAGAAAGGAGGCGAAACTTACAGTCATCTGGTCCAAGCTAATTAGGACTTCAAGGGGTAATAGTAGCATTTTGAATGGGCTTTAGGTTCAAATAACAACCTCAAAAAGGAAAAAATCCAAGTATATTATTATTGCATTTCTCAGCTATATTTAAAGGCTAGGGGAGGAGGAGAATTTGTTGTAAGGGTTTAGGCTGATGATTATCCACCTTTAAGAAAGAAAGAAAAGAGAGAGGGGGAGAGAGAGAGAGAAAGAAAAAGGAAAGGAAAGGAA